TCACGCATTCAACAGTCATATCAAACATCTGAGGTAACAAACTTTGGGTAATTTTTTTTCTAGATGGAATAATGTAAGTTGGACTTAACATTTTAATTAAGTTACGAAATTCTTCATCCTCCACCACACTAAACGGATGGTATTCCTTCACAATCATTTTTACCAACATTTTTGATTTGCTCATAGGCATCGGCTTATGGATGAAGTTTGCAATAGAGCTTTGCTGTTTTTTATGTGGTCTTAAAAATGCTGTTGATGCTGTTGCTATTGAAGTAGATTGTTGTCTAATCGGATTTTGGTTCATCGATGTTGAGGGTTCTGGATCATCAATAATCTCAGAATTTGATTCATTTACCTATAATTTAGAAGTATTATTACCTATTAAATATTCATTATTCATTATTTTAAATTTTAACTGTAATTATAACTGTTAAAAGGTTGGTTGTGTTCATTTTTTTAGGTAACAAATTTTATAAAAGTTAATATATCAAGTGTAGGATTGTAAAATATGCTTTTAAAAGTATTTAAAGTAGTACCTACTTAAATGCATAAAGAAAATATTTATATACCTATATTAAATAAATTGTTATTCTTTGTATTTATTGTATTACCTATTGACGGCGCGGCAAGTGCCCAACAATAATAGAGGGCTGGCTTGTTCGCCTTAATAATTATTGAAGGACTGGTATTAAAAAATAAGTATAATTAAAACAAATAAATAAAGATTGGTGTGAATAAGTGGACTGTGTAATGTAAATAATGAAAAAAGGTAATATAAATATAACTAATGACAATTAATAATTTTCTGATAATAATGTATAAATGCAAATTAAACAAATAGTAACTAACTGAACTAAATAAATGAAATGTGTGGACCACACGGCACACACCAAATAAATAATATAAATATAAGCGATGAAAAATAATATAAATAAATACAATAAATAATTCAATAATTGGCCCAACACGGCGCGCAAATAATAAGAAATAAATAATAATTTGCCTATGACGGCACACCACAGTGTATGAATAAATATATAATACAATGATATCAATAATGTGGTAGATGCCTATGTCGGCCAATGCAAAATAATACAATAATGTGGTAAATGCCTATGTCGGCCAATGCAAATAATACAATAATGTGGTAAATGCCTATGTCGGCCAATGCAAAATAATACAATAATGTGGTAAATGCCTATGTCGGCCAATGCACAATGATACAATATAAATAATAAATAACGTGCCTACGACGGCTAGGCCCGTCGGCCTTTAAACACAAATGAACAAATATGGTCGACCAATACTCACTTGTGACTATGTTGAAATGGCTGATTCCATCCACGCGACCGCACCAACCCTGTGATTAAACAATTGCCTATGACGGCACACCGCAGTGTATCAATAAAAAATAAATCACAGAATTGGTACGTGCGACCACTCAAGCACAGTCACCAACGAAAAAACTGCAACGATCCACAGCCCTGGACGATGACACAATGAATGAAAACCACGTTATTCACAAAACGAAAATGACACTACACAAAAAACGTGGTTTGAATGAAAATGGCTGCGGACGTACGGACTTGACAAAAATGAAATTAGATGTGCACACCACGAAGACACAAAAATGAGAGCGAGATGGGTCCGACGACATTCACCACGAAGGCTAAGGCCGCCGGACACCACAATGAAGATAAAATGCCCCAGTGCCACCACACAAAATAGAAAAACACTCGAAATCAATGAACTTTGTGGCACTGAGAGCATGATTTGAAACTTTTACAAAACATAACCGACAATTTTTTGAAAACGTGGAATAACAATCATTAACGTGCGACGATAACAGCGCGATAACGTATCCGGCCGGTCGCGCACGGAGGCTTATCACCGCCGCCGACGAGGGCCGCGAATACGCAACGCGCCGCTACGCATCGCACGAAAATGATGACATGAACAAATTTTATACAAACAATATATACAGCGCGAACACCTATATTATAATATTTTTTTTAAAAATGCATCATTACCTTCTATTATTATAATTTATATGCCTAAATGGCTAAATACAATTTTTATATCATGTCTATTAATTATTGCATACTATGATCATTGATTGCACTATATCATATTTTGAAATATTGATCTATGAAATAAAGTATATACCATAATAATAATAATAATAATAATAATAATAATAATAATAAATATTATAGCTAATCAGATTTTATAATATAAAAAGATTCTGCAAGATTTGTTATTTTGATTTCTATTAAAATAATAAGACACAAGTATAAAATGTAAAAGTAGATATTGTATTCGTCAGCATTTAAAAGTATTATTTAAATAGTCCTCAACTACAAATAAGAAAAAAAAGTATTTGAATACTAATATTAAAATACTTGACACATGTGATCAAGTATAGATTTCTATTGGACAAATTGATTTTAAATTAATATTTTACCTGGTCATTTCTCTGTAGTGGAACTGTTGGATGCTTCGTTTTTAAATGTCTCAACAAATTTCCAGTAGATCCTCCACTAAGACTTATTTTGTATGAACAATTATTGCATTTCGCAATGTTATTTTGTAAAATGGTATAATGATGCCATACATTACTACGTTTCCTATTTAATGCTGTATTATCAGTGTTTGACGAAGACATAGTTATACTACTAAGCACCTAATAATTGAACCGAAATAAACATTTTGATACTTTTTGATATTTAATAAATACGAACTTACTTTTGGAATCCCAGTATAACAACATTCGAGACAAATTTATAATTTAAATTCTCTAACCTTTTCTAATAGAACTAAATAATACCATTAATCACTGAATAAATCTCTCATAGAAATGAGTCGCAAAAATATTGCTATTCGATTTGTGAACAAACAAATGGAAAACTCAAGACAGTAGACACCGAGTTGAAAACAACAGCATAATGTAATAAAAAGAATGATGAAAAATGAATTGTTCAAGTATTAACGAAAACATTTACACGTGTCATTACATGTTTATTAAATTTCTAAGGATTGCAAATGGTCATCATTAACATGTTGTGACAGGAATGTACCAGTTTTAAACTTTTTGTTTCACACACAAATATCTACTTTGTTTTTGTAATATTATGGATTAATCACTTATTGAATATAAAAATGCTACAAAATGGTATTACTTATTATGTTCATATTTTTGATTTACTAAATTAAGTTTTGTCTTTAAAATTGTTGATATTTATTGTATAAATAATGTATAACATTATTTTATGCTTGGTATTTTTTTGTTTTAACTTATCTTGGCCATTTTTGTAAACCAAATAAAAATAAATTGTGTATCAAATATCATTTGAAACATCAGTATTTTTTAAAAAATTCCCCTGGAATCTAACTTCTCACTTTCCTTGACAAAAGCAGTGACAGGTTTTTTGTGAATCATATTTAATATACAAAATAATTTCAACACAAATGTATAATATTATAAATATATTAAATTATATTCAAATTATGAATTATATTATTTTCATTATTTAATAACACAAAAAATAACATATCTAGCACATTTTCCATGAAAACATCAAATAAAAAGACACAATATTCAATTAATAATCATTATTTATTGAAAAAACAAATACTACTAAATTGAAATTTTTAAAATACATTGGCTACAACAGAATTCCAGTTTTATTACATGATTAAATTATTTAAATGATCATTACTCATTTAAATGATTTGTTTATAATATTCAAAAGCATTGTTAGTCATAAACTTAATAATTTATTCAAATTAAGGTTTAATAAAACAATTATTAATATCTACAAATAATATTTTAAAATTATAATCATAATTATATAGGTATTGAATTTGTCAACAAACAGGTGACTATTACAAGTATATTAGTTACTATAACAAGTATATACAAAATGTACACCTTCTTTAAGCAACTGATGTATTGAAGGTGTTACGTTCTTATTTATCTCTTGGAAGATTTATAAAATCTAACTTGTTAACACAAGTAACTAGGCGTTCAGCAACTTTTCTTAGGAAGGGGTATATTGTAGGTTCAGAGATTCAAAAATAGAACAATAAAAAAGATTAGTTCGTTAAAAGATATAATAAAATATGCATTTTTAACTACCGATAATCTATAATAGGAATAAAATATAAATGATACCTATTATTAGAATAGTTATTGAAAATTATATCGATTATTCAGTCGTGGATTATAATATTTTAATAATTATTCGATAGTTTATAATGTTTATAAAATGTTCAATCGAATAATAATCGATAATACAAATTATTCAATAGTCAATACCGCTCATCACTGTCCGAACTCTGAATCGTCACTCGAGTCGCGAACGACGCGATTACGCGAACTGTTTAGGAAGTGGGAACCACGACAATTGACCTGAATATTCAGTTCAATGGTTCTGATTCAGTATAGGCTTAAAAAAACCTATCAGATCGCGAACGGGTCTTTTATCCGGATCTTCTTGATGACCTGATCTGAAAGAATCGGATCACTTAGATGATCCATAATTCCCATCTCTGGTATATTTATAAACTCAAGTTATGAAACGTTATCGCATGGGCCCGTTAATTTATCAATATTATTGTATTGTCCGACGGTTCGAACTATCACAATTTTATATTATCATAATCGTCGCTGTGCTAACATTATTCGCATGTGACTTTTTACATTTCTTATAATTAAATTAAATTTAAATTTTAAGTTTTTATAATGCCTGGTAGTACGTGCCAATATTTTAACTGCGATAAATCCTCCAGTAAATTTCCAAATTTTAAATTTTACCGTTTTCCAAAAGATAGTAGATTAGAAACGTGGAAAATTAATTCCGGTATATTTTAGGTAAATATTATTTATGCAAGTTTTATGAACATATTTTAATTTAATATAATTTTAAATTAAGGAAACATAAAATTATTTTCGATTGACAATAAAGTGTTATAATCGGTATTTATGCTAGGAGCACTTTTCACCAGATTCATTTATGGACCAGGTTTCAAAAAAATTAATAAAATCAGCTATTCCTTATAAATATAATGAAATTATTGACCAACCAACATCGAGCGGTGAGTACTATTTTGGAGTAGAAACAACAAAATAAGTTCTAAATAAATTTAGTTCATATTGTAAAATAACAATCTATATTTTATTTAACTTAATTGTAGGAAGTAGTTTAAGTGCTAGACTGGTTGTTACTGAACTTTTTCCTACAATTCCCATTAGATTCGAAGAACCTAAAAAAGTACTTACGCAAAAGTCAGAAATGCAGAGTGTGTCGGGCTAGTATTTCCTAGTGCTTCAAAAGATACTACAACCAATATATCCAATAGA